ATTTGCTTACTAAATTTTGCAAGTCAGTACTATGAGTAATAGACTATCTATTTTTTTATCAACTTACAATTCCACAGCATTTATATGTTGTAAGGCAGTGATAGAAGCATTTTTTATCTGATTCGATATATTTCTTTATCTTTTTTATATCTGCTTTTATATCCCAAAAAGATGGTAAACATTATTGTTAATCCTTGAAATGTCGTTCCGGTATTCCGTTCATCCCTTTGTTTAAGACAGACTGTATATCTAAATGTGAAATTATTAAATTCCTTTTCGGAAATTCAGACAGCATTAGAAATAGAGGAACTTGATGACGAAAACGATTATTCTCCGGAACGTGAACAATTTGAGGATCAACATTGGTTAGCTACAGACTTGGTCAATGAACGTTTATATACTCTTCGCGAATCCGTTAGACTTGCATCTGCTACAAGATTTACGGCTTCACCCAGTAATACATTTTCAAAACAGACGATTAGCGCACATTCGATTATCACACGTGTCCCTTGCCGGGGGGGAATACTACACTCGAGCAAATAGAAGGGCAGTCGATGCCGATTCCACGGAACGTTTCGCGGAGGAACATAAAGACAAGCCGCAGGTTGCACTTCAGGTCAATGTTTTGGCAATGAAGGCAACCCCGGGTGTAGAAGTCACATTGTCCCCTGCGGTCGTTCAATCTCGAAACACTCGTGACAACCTACCGTGTCGGTCATTATTGGACTCAGGGTCACATTCCCGTTACCTTACAGGACCTTTTTCAAGGAATTTAGATTTCCGACATCGATGTTTAAAGCTCTCAGTAACCGCAATCATGCAGACAACCGCGTTTGTAAGGAGAGCGGTTGAAACACAATCTCAATCGCGCACGAATTCATTTATTGTTAACATGACCTTCTCCAGCACAGCAGAAACCATAGAAATGCCACGATGGCGACAGCTCGCAATTCGCAACCTCAGAATTTCGAGTTTATCTCTTGCTAACCCTAACCTCAACAAGCTGTGGGAAGAGGACAGATTACTGGGCGCCAAATTATACTTAAAATCATCAGGCACTGGGAAAATATCTTTAGTGATTAACGCTCATTTAAAACTATTGTTAGAACTTCCGGGCGTTACACGCAATGCCCATTCGAAACGAAGGCATCTAGTAAAAGAAGCCCGAGTGCATGTAAATGCATTGCATGCTTTAAAACAACCCACGGAACATTGGGACACGATACTATTTTATATCCTTGTTAGTAAGCTGGATAAAGAAACGCGTCGCTCCTGGGAGAGATCGTTAGGCGAGGATCAAATTCCTAAACTCAACCAATTAATCGAGCATATTAATAAATGTTGGAGTAAAAATAAACTCTACGTCCTAGTGATGTGAGGGGGCGATCCCTTCCCCTGCGTTTTGTCTTTTGTCTTTTGTCGCCGGTTTTCTGGAGACGTTGCTGACCTGCGTGGCTCCGAACGGACGGGCCAGTTCTAACCGTTCGCCCGTTTAATAAAGATCTAATTTTACACCGTCTCACTGATTATTATTTCCTAAAAGATAACCCCTTAACAATAAACAAGCACGGGGTGGATGAGGTAGAATCGGATATGATAAATTCGCTCAAATTGAATACCTCGGATAAGCGTTTACGAGAAAAAACTCAAAACCGCGGCCAATCGTATGTTTCGACACAGGCACAGCATCGGTGTATCGTTTGTAAGGGAGAACATTCGATTTACGCCTGTCCAAAATTCCTACGATCTGCGATTAACGATCGCTTCAACATGGTAAAGAATTTAAAACTGTCTTAATTGCCTTCGATCAAATCACCTAGTCGGCGATTGTAGATTAGGGAATTGTCGTAAGCGTGAAAGGAAGCACCATACACTGCTTCATTTTTCATCTGCGAAAGAGGAAAATATCGATCAAAATACTTACAAAGACATTTCGTCATCTTCGACATCCTTAGATATTTCGAAACTCACCCTCACCGCTTATCGCGACTCTGAGATTTTACTTGGGACTGCACGAGTCGTAAGTCTCGATAAAAACAACCGGAATCATGTATGTCGCGTGCTGATTGATAGTGGTGCGCAAACTCATTTTATAACCCATCGTCTCGCCGAAAGGTTGAACTTAAACATAAAACAAATCTTTCATTTCCTGACCTACAGACAAACGTTTAAACAAAACTTGCTAGGTTAGGTTAGGTTCCATCAGAAACTGGAAAAACAGGCATTTTTTGGAACCCGACAATGGAATTTATCGAATGGCATTTCGCCCCTCCACACACTCCACACTTTGGTGGTTTGTGGGAAGTTGCTGCAAAGTCATTCAAGAATCATCTCTATAGAACAGTTGGAGATGTATTATTCGCTTACGAACAATTTTATACATCGATAGTTGAGATTGAAGCCATTCATATTTCTCACCCTCTGATACCTCTATCCTCTGATCTCAACGATCTCCTCGCCATTACGCCCGGCCATGTCCTGAGAGGTGATTCGTTGACAAACCTGCCCGAACGCAATTTCGTCGATACACCGGACAACAAGCTGTCACTCTGGCAGCATATACAAAAAATTAAAGGCCATTACTGGAGCTGGTGGCAAAAGGAATATTTGCAGGAACTATACACCAGAGATGCTACGCTATTCGAGGAAGGTACACTCGTGAGCATTATAGAAGATAATAGTCATCCTCTTCATTGGCAGCTCAGGCGAGTTGTCAAGGTCCATCCAGGCGAAGATGGCATTGTACGTGTGGCTTCATTACGAATCCAAAACGGGGTTTATAAGCGTGGCATTAAAAGACTACTCTCACCCTTGCCACTCGAAGACAAGTAGCTATAAGC